TTTTAGGCCAGATTATTCTGTCACGATCCGGGTCAGGTTCAGAGACCAGTTGCTATAGCAGTTGTAAGGCTTACCTGAAACCAGCAGGATTGGTACACCAGCGGCCCACCTGGGAATGACACAGGCTCACCTGAGGTGCGGGGTCTAAGCATCCACCGGTCTTCCCCAGAGCTCCTAATGGTGGAGATGGATTTGGCTGCGTGTGTGAATGCCAGGTCGCAGATCTCAGGATCACCCCACCAGGGAATGAGTAGGCTGGAAACCAAAAGCAGATCAAACAGTTCAGGGATCAAACAGAAGCGGATTCAGTCACAAGCCAAGGGTCGGTCACCAATTGTAGTAGATAGGATGAGGCAGAATCGTAGTCAGTAGCAAGCCAAAGGTCGGTAACGTAGATGAAGACGGCAGCAGGAACAGTAAGCGGGATATTGGCTGGTAAGGCACAATAATCTGGCAACCAGGAAGTGCAGAGACATGGCTTTTATAGGAAGTTCATGGGAGGAGCAAGGAGTTCAAGGTTCAAGACAAAACAGGGGAAAGGCAGGATCATCCAAAGAGTTGTCAAAGGAGCTGTCCAGCATTCCAGGTGGCTCAGCGAGAAGAAACACCATCTCCCACCGCAGAAGGCCCAGGTTCGATTCCAGGCTCTGACACTCGGGGGATCAGGAAGGAATGTTTTCCCCTTGCAGGAGCAAATTGGATCATGCTTTGCTGGGTTTTTTACCTTCCTCTGGATCAACTGTGGGTGTAGGATTATTATTATTGTTATTATACAGTATTTATAAAGCGCCAATAGTTCGCTCAGCGCTGTACATTACAAAGGGGGACAGAACATGTGACAGAACAATACCAATACAATGCAAAACATGAGGGGATTGAGGGCCCTGCTCTTTCGAGCTTACAATCTAGGAGGGAGGGGATGGTGGCACAGGAGGAGAAAGCTGTGGGGGATGGAGTGGTAGGAAGAGTGGAGGAGATCGGCAAGTTAGCAGGGGTGGGGGTAGACTTCCCTGAAGAGGTGGGTTTTCACGATGTGCCTAAAGGAGAGGAGAGTAGGTGATAATCTGATGGGTTGGGGCAGGGAGTTCCAGAGGATGGGTGACACCTGAAGAAGTCCTGCAGGCGGGCATGGGAGGAGGAGACCAGGGAACTAGAGAGAAAGAGGTCTTGTGAGGAGCGGAGTGTGCGTGCTGGGTGGTACTTGGATATTAGGTCGGTGATGTAGTTCAGGGCAGTATGGTGGACGGCTTTGTACGTCAGTGTTAGGATTTTGAATTTGATCCATTGTGCAATCGGAAGCCAGTGGAGGGATTGGCAGAGGGGGGTGGCGGAAACGGAGCGGTTGGAAAGGTGAATGAGTCTGGCAGCCGTATTCAGGATCGACTGAAGCGGGGATAGCCAGCGGCGAGGCAGGCCAGTGAGGAGGGAGTTGCAGTAATCGAGTCGAGATATGATGAGGGAGTGGATGAGCTGTTTAGTGGTTTCTGGGGTTAGGAACGTGCGGATTTTGGCGATGTTGCGGAGGTGGAGTCTGCACGAGTTTGTTAAAGATTGGACTTGGGGGTGGAAGGATAGGTTGGAGTCCAGAATGACACCAAGTACTCTGGCCTGTGGGGCGGGTTTGATGGTGGCGTTGTTGGACATGATGGAGAAGTCAATGGGGGGTGGGGTCCGGCCTGGGGGGAAGACAAGAAACTCGGTTTTGGAGAGGTTCAGTTTAAGGAAGTGGAGCGACATCCAGTCTGATATGTCGCCCAGTAGGTGTGTGATTCGGGCGGAGACTGAGGGGGTGAGGTGGGGGGTTGAGAGATAGATTTGTGTGTCGTCGGCATATAGGTGGTAGTTGAAGCCGTGAGTGTATGAGTTGGCCAAGGGAGGAGGTGTAGATGGAGAAGAGAAGGGGCCCGAGGACGGAGCCTTGAGGGACCCCAACAGAGAGGGGGAGTGAGGGGGAGGTGGTAGCATTATAGGTAACGCTGAAAGAGCGTTGTGACAGGTAGGATGAGAGCCAGGAGAGAGCAGAATCTCTGAGGCCGAGGGAGTGTAGTTTTTTGAGGAGGAGGGGGTGGTCGACTGTGTCGAAGGCCACGGAGAGGTCAAGGAGTAGGAGCACTGAATAGTGGCCATTAGCTTTGGCGGTTAGCAGGTCGTTGGAGAGTTTGAGTAAGGCGGTTTCGGTGGAGTGTAGGGGACGGAAGCCAGACTGTAGAGGATCAAAGAGGTTGTTGTCGTTGAGGTGAGAGCTTAGGCGGGTGTAGACTAGGCGTTCGAGGAGTTTGGATGTGAATGGGAGCAGGGAGATGGGTCTGAGGTTGTTTGGGTCATTGGGGTCCAGGGATGGCTTTTTAAGTATGGGGGTGATGTGTGCATGCTTCAGAGGGGAGGGGAAAGTGCCAGAGGAGAGGGAGAGATTAAAGATGTGGGTGAGGGAGCATAGGATGGAGGGGGAAGGGGGGTAGTAGGAGTTGTGAGGGGATAGGGTCGAGGGGGCAGGTGGTGAGGCGGGCATCAGAGAGGACCTTGGAGACTTCCTCGATGGTAGTAAGGCCAAAGGTGCAGAGTGTTGAGGAGGCTTCAGTATGAGGAATGTAGGGTGGGGTGGAAGTGGAGGTCAGAGCAGTGGTGGGGCCGTGGGAGAGGGGTGATGAGGGGGTAGCTGAGTGAGGGGGAACGGGGTTGGAGGGAGTTTGAGCAGTGACGAAGTCCCTGCGGGTTATGTCGAGGGAGAGGAGGGATGAGGGGGTAGCTGTGTGAGAGGGGACGGGGTTGAGGGGCGTGTGAGTTGCGGCAATGTCCTTGCGAATTGTGTCAATCTTGTTTTTTAAGTGATTGGCAATCTCAAGGGCGGTGAGTGAGGTGCTGGGTGGGAGGTGGGGTGGAGAGAGTAGAGAGTTGAAGGTGGAGCAGAGTCGGCGAGGATTGGAGGAGAGGGCCTTGATGAGGGGATGATTATAACTTCTTATTTTTAATGGTTGAACTGGATGGACTTTTGTCTTTTTTCAGCCAGACTATGTAACACACACCAGCATCCTGTCTGGACAATGAAGGAGCAGCAACACACTGATGAGTCATCACTCTGCTCACTCTATTCTTTCCCTTTGTCTGAATTTTCCCTGGTGGCACAAATTCAAGAGCTTACACTAGCTACATTTAGATGTAGTTAATTTAAGATTTCAGTTGAGATTTTTTTTATATGAACACATACAGAACTTTAATAATTTTGTTATTTTTTTTAAATATTTTCCTGGAATTCACACTTAAGCAATATGGTTATGATGCAGCACATTGGCGACAACACTGTGACTGCATCTGCTTCATGTCTGGGGTGCATATAATTGCTGTCAGTGGGGACAGCAAGTTTTATGCATGCTCATTCTGCTAGGAATGCTGACTGTACTAAATATAGATCTAGTTGTGGTTACATTGCAGTCTGCGCTTCTGACCTCATCAAAGGATACTAAACATGTGACTGCCATTAAAACTAATTATATATATTTCATAGGTAAAATAGATTCTATTGATTGTGAAGGCCTAAAAGCAAGCTTGTTAATACAATAGGGGGATTACTACCAAAGAGTGGTGCAGGTAATACTCTTCTAAACTGAGAAAACAGCAGATCCTGCAAAGTGATGCAAGCCCCTTCGTCAATGAGGAGCGATCTGCTCCGTTTCCTATGCCATGTTAGCTGTCAGACACAGAATGGGCCTCATTCACACAGCCACTTTGGGCCATACACCAACAAAAATGAACGTAATCTCCAGTGAGTTCCACAGGTATTTGCAATCAGCTTGTACAAGTCAATGACAGGCTGACAGGTGCCTTCGCTCTTCACATGTAAAGGGATATCCAAGGTGTTATATGCAATTAAGGACAGATAAGTGGCTTCTGGCACAGAACAGCTGCCTACAGGCCACTTATCTGTCCCTAATTGCATATAACACCTTGGATATCCCTTTACATGTGAATAGCAATGGTGCCTGTCAGCCTGTCATTGACTTGTGCAGTTACATGCGACCAGCCACAGCACCTGTCAGTTTGACATTGATCTGTGCTGTCTAGACCAGGGGTCTCCAGACTTTCTAAACAAAGGGTCAGTTTGCTGTCCTTCAGACTTTACAAGGGCCGGACTGCAGCCAGTAGCAGTAGAAAAGGTCCCGACGTCAGTGGGAAAATAAATAATGCTCCTTTGTTTGGTGTCAGTGGGAGGAATTCTGCCCCATCATTGATGTCATTGCACCCTATCATTTGTGTTACTGGGAGGAATTGTGCCCCATCATTGATGTCATTGGACCCTATCATTTGTGTCACTGGGAGGAATTGTGCCCCATCATTGATGTCATTGGACCCTATCATTTGTGTCACTGGGAGGAATTGTGCCCCATCATTGATGTCATTGGACCCTATCATTTGTGTCACTGGGAGGAATTGTGCCCCATCATTGATGTCATTGGACCCTATCATTTGTGTCACTGGGAGGAATTGTGCCCCATCATTGATGTCATTGGACCCTATCATTTGTGTCACTGGGAGGAATTGTGCCCCATCATTGATGTCATTGGACCCTATCATTTGTGTCACTGGGAGGAATTGTGCCCCATCATTGATGTCATTGGACCCTATCATTTGTGTCACTGGGAGGAATTGTGCCCCATCATTGATGTCATTGGACCCTATCATTTGTGTCACTGGGAGGAATTGTGCCCCATCATTGATGTCATTGGACCCTATCATTTGTGTCACTGGGAGGAATTGTGCCCCATCATTGATGTCATTGGACCCTATCATTTGTGTCACTGGGAGGAATTGTGCCCCATCATTGATGTCATTGGACCCTATCATTTGTGTCACTGGGAGGAATTGTGCCCCATCATTGATGTCATTGGACCCTATCATTTGTGTCACTGGGAGGAATTGTGCCCCATCATTGATGTCATTGGACCCTATCATTTGTGTCACTGGGAGGAATTGTGCCTCATCATTGATGTCATTGGACCCTATCATTTGTGTCACTGGGAGGAATTGTGCCCCATCATTGATGTCATTGGACCCTATCATTTGGGTCACTGGGAGGAATTGTGCCCCATCATTGATGTCATTGGACCCTATCATTTGTGTCACTGGGAGGAATTGTGCCCCATCATTGATGTCATTGGACCCTATCATTTGGGTCACTGGGAGGAATTGTGCCCCATCATTGATGTCATTGGACCCTATCATTTGTGTCACTGGGAGGAATTGTGCCCCATCAAGTGATGTCATTGGACCCTATCATTTGTGTCACTGGGAGGAATTGTGCCCCATCATTGATGTCATTGGAAGGAGTTGTGTCTCCTTCATTGGTGTAAGTGGGGGGGAATTATACCCAATTGGTTTCAGTGGATGAAATAGTGCCCCAAGGACCAGATAAAAGCAAGCAAGGGGCCACATCTGGCTTCCAGCTGCAGTTTGGAGACCACGTGTCTAGACAGTGTCATTTGTTCTTTTGTTTGCTCTGTGCAATGCCCTTCCAAAGGCTCATTTACACTTGCGTTGCCCTCTGAAAATCGACCCTCGGTAGTTTGCTTTTCAGAGGGCAGTTAACAAGTGGCTGAGAGGAGAAATGTGGCCTCCTGGATGCCTGTTTTAACCATTGAAAGCGTACGGCAGCACTCTACACCGTGTGCATTACATGTGGTTGCAGGGTGGTCGCATCAAGGCCCATTAAGCTATATAAGTCATATTGGATGACAGTAGTGCCTGCCAAACCCATCATGGGATATAACTTTTGACATGACCATGATGCTGTGTACCACCCTACTGCGGCAACCATGTTGACTTAAGGTAGAGGGCTGGGTTAAACAGCTCAACCACTAATTTTTATCCCCCCCCCCAGCAGCATCTATAAACAAAGCTAGTTATAAATTGGGGCTATTGATATTTTTTATTTAACAGCCAGATATATAGCCAAGGAAAGGAGCTTTCCCTTCCTGTATGCAAGCTCATCTGGGTAGAGTGTTCACTGCAAGGGCAGGGAGAGCTGTGGGCGTATCCCAAAGGCCAGGTCCAGTGTGGTGGAAATCTCTTTGGTAATTGGGCATGGAAGCCAAGTCCGTTTCTTTTTCACTCCGAAACTGGTGCAGGTGGGGGGCAGATCGACATGAAGCAGGCCTGCCTGCTTTGTTAATGCACCACTTGCGTGAGTTTCCTGAACATTATAATAGTGCAAGAAGTCCTGTTAATTCCCATTGTGTCTGGGGGAATTTGTGGGTGCCAGAAAGTCCTATAGCAATGTTGTTATGGTAGTCAACTATGCCTAAGTAAATGTTTTATTTTGAGGTGCCAAGAACATGCCATAGGCTCTTGTAGTTAAAGCTGAACACTGTGGAAAACAAAACTCCACCTTAAAGTAGGGTTGACCATGCGCTGCCAGGAATAAATGCTCATTTAGGTCTAGGGCACTGGAAAAATGTTTTACTTATCCAATTCTCCACTCCCGCAAGCTTTCTCCATGCTGCTACAAGCCTCTTCTCTGCTATGCTACATTGATCCCAGGCCCTCTGATGTCATCACGTACAATGCAGAGCCGTAGCCTCGCACTGGGTGACGCTGAGGGGAAGTCCACCTCTGGAGTGTAAGGGAGAAGAGGAGAGCACCGACTGCCAGAGGAAGCGAGGATCAGGTGAGCAGAACTGCTTTTTCCAGTGCCCTAGAACTAAATGAGCATTTAACCCTTGCAGTGCTGGGGCAACCCCATCACAAGGGAGGATTTTCTCACTTCCCTGGAGATAACCTTTGAGGCTAATAGACCAGCTGTATTTAGCACAGGCAATTTAGGACAGTGCTTCTGGAGCCAATTTCCTGGCAAATTTGTATATTGGCACCACATTTTTGTTTCTGACGTCTTCATGGTTGGCAAATTTACAGTTTGTTTTGTCGCAAGACATTTTCCAAATAAAAGTGATGTTTCTTTTGGCTTCACAAATTGTGGATGCTTAAAACTGAACTGGAGAGCGAACAGCTAAATTCCCAGTTGAAATTTATGCATGGGAGCTGTGTCACCTGCAAAAGGATTTGTCATTCAGTCCAGCCAGTTCTTTGACAGTTACACACCTAGGCTGGCCTAAGATTTCTGTACTGTTAAGCAATACAGCCTGTGATTGGACAATGAAGGAGCAGAAGGAGGCTAATAGGGTCCTCTCTCTCCTGTGTTCTTCTGTCTGCATGTTCCTTATTATTATTATTATTATACAGGATTTATATAGCGCCAACAGTTTGCTCAGCGCTTTACAATATAAAGGGAGACAATACAGCAATAATACAGTTCAATACAAGAGGGGTAGGAGGGCCCTGATCCTCGGAGCTTACGATCTAGGATCAGCACATACGCATGCAGCACAGGCTGATTGGTCCCGACTCTCACTTTTGTTGCTGCAAAGGGGATTACTAGAGGCTGATAGCATGACAGATTAACCCTAGGTTCACATATGTGCGAGTGTGGTGCCACTGTGGATCCGCACAAAAATCCATGCAGCCGCACCACCCACACAGAGAAATGCGGACCTGCGGGCGGGTGACATTAGTTCTAATGTCACGCCGCCCGCACTGGAAAACGCAACCATACTGGGAACCGAGGTTCCCGTGCGGGCTGTGTTTTCCAAAGAAGCGCAGGGACTTCTCCCCTGCATGTCACGGGCACAGGAGTCCATTCAAATGAATGGGCTCTCATGCCCATGCAAAACGCTGCCGCATATATGTGAACCGGGAGTAAAGCACTTAGGTGATGTTCAAGCTTTGTGCGAATCAGGAACACTTGCAAAATCACATGCTTTGCTGACACACTCAGGAATGTGCTTTCCTTTAGCAGATGTGCAGAGGTGCCATTAGGTCTTAATGACAAGCCCATGCATCTGCTAATGCACTTGTTTTTGTATGCAACAAAATGCATGACGAAGCACCATGTGGTTTGGCACGTGATTTTGCCAAATGGACAGGGAATTCTTCTGCATGCTTCTAACGTATAGGGCAGCCCATTTGTGGTACCCTCCTAGATAGGTGCTATGAGTAGATACATCTAGTTCTGGCTCCATGTGTATAGTACACCTGCATTTTTGTTGTTAGGCAAGTTTACCTTAACTCGTAATCCGTGCAGCTGCAATTCTGGGTTAGGCAAATTGAGTTCTAGCTCGCTGTAATCATTGCGGCTGCATGTGATTATTCGGGTTTGAGCTTTGTCTCACAGGCTGCAGATTTAATCGCTCTCACTCTGTATCTCCAGAGCATCAAAGATAGTTCTGGAACATAGGTGTGGAGTAATGTAAATGGGCAGCATGAATATTTATACAGTCCCAACCAATCTTTGTGGGACCTGCACAGGTGGCTGCTGGGATTTGGGTATAAATAGCCTGAGATCTAGAGTCTTCTTATCTTGTTCTCTAGAGGAGGAGTCCAGCCTAGAGGACCTGCTGCCCTCTGGGCAGTCCTGCCTTGTGCCTATTGTTCTAGTGGCTTTAGCTGGGCTAGCTGAGAGACTTGGAAGCTGACTGAGGGATTGTCTCTTGTTGGATCCAATCTGGGATAGTTGGTAGAGGTGTCTGGAGGACATTGGAAGGAGGCACCCGTCCGTCTGAAGACATTTGGAGGAACAGACTGTGTGAAAGATCATAGAGACTGCTGGCTGCTGCTACCCCTCTGGTGCCAGAAAGTCAGCTGAGAGTGCAGAAAAAGAGGGTACAGGCTGGTATCCTGTAGTGTTTTGTCTAGCTTGTTATGTGTTAAAGGAACTCTGTTCAGGTTGCTGAAAGAAAGAAGTTTGTGCCTTTATCTGCTTCATCTAAGCAAGTCCTTTTGCTGGCTCCTACAGGGCCTGTGCTTAAAGTGCTGCAGAAGAAAGTACTCATCATGTACATAGTTTTTCGAAGCATCCCTTCCATCCTCAATCCCTAGCCAAGTTATTTCTAAAATAAAAACACCAAAAAGAATACCTCTGGACTATTTACTGAGCCATAGAGTGACTGTGTTCATGTGCTTGGCTGTAGAGAGAAACTATGGGAAAATACTATGAGCACAGTGGCTAAATGGTTAGCACTTCCGCCTGGCAGTACTAGGGTTGTTGGTTTGAATCCCAGCCATGGTACCACCTGCCTGGGGTTTGCATGTTCTCCCTGTGCCTGCGTGGGTTTCTTCTGGGTACTCTGTTTTCCTCCCACTCTCCAAAGACATGCTGGTAGGTTAATTGGATCCCATCTAAATTGTCCCTAGTATGTGTATGTATGAATGTGAGTTAGGGATCTTAGATTGTACACCCCTTGAGGGTTAGGAACTGATGTGAATGTACAATATATATGTAAAGCACTGCATAAATTGATGGCACTATATAAGTACCTGAAATAAATAAATAAAATACCTCAGAGACCTAACTGCTGGGTCCTATAAGGGTACCACTACACATTGAAATAAATGGGCTTTCCTTCACGTGACACGTGGGAATGTGCACAGGCTCTGTCCCACCTACATGGTGTGAGCAGAGCCTTATACTAGTTCCAGTCATGGGCATAAATATTGGCACCCCTTCATTTCTGTCAGATAATGCACCCTTCAATTTTTCTCATTTTCCACGTCCAGGGAGATTAGCTACAGTGCCATGGGCTGTAAACTTCTTGACAATGTTGAGCACAGTGGACAGAGGAACATTAACATCTCTGGAGGTGGACTTGTAACCTGGAGATTGTCCATGCTTTTTCACAGTTTTTGGTTTGAAATCTTCAGACAATTTTTTGCTTCTCTTTTTCTTCTCCGTGCTCCATGTGGCACACAGAGACACACACCAGATAGACTGAGTCACTTTTTCACCATTTCAACTGGTTGCCGGTGTGATTTCTACTGTATATTGTCAGCACTTGTTAATTGATAAAGGTGAGTTTAATTGCAACTTGCAGGAGCATCACAAACTTGGAAAGCAATTATTTCTTACAATTTCAAGACGGTCCCAATAATTTTGTCCAGTCCATTTTTGGAGTTTTGTGTGGAATGTGTCAGATTTGGCTTTTTGTTTCTCCACTTTTTTGTTTCATACCAATACAAACAAAAGAGATAAACATGAGAATGCCTAAACATTTGTAATTGCAACAATTTTCTGGGAGAAGTAAGCATTATCTGACAGAAATGCAGGGATGCCAACAGTTTTGGCCATAGCTGTATATGTAAATATACATTTCTAATGAATAATTAAACTGTAAAAAATAGTGCACTTTATATCTGCCTGTCGTTCTGTTTTAGCTATGTAGGTAATATAGGCCCTAGGATAATAAATACTATATAGTTACAATTTGTAATGCCATCTAGAATACTGCTATTTTGTTAGAGCTTATTATTGGTTATTTTTGCTCTCTTTGTCCGTCTTGGAGAGATTCCCTCACGCATTCTATGTTGATAGCTAATTGCAATTGAGGAGAATCCTACTCAGTGGGGACAAGCGGAACAATAAAAGCCAGACAGGGAC